GCTGGGGGAACTAAAGTAAAAATTCAAGCCTCGACTTTCGTTATTGAAAGATTCTCTGGGCAAATTATTGAATGATGCAGAGGGCATCAAGAAAAGATGGAAGGAATACACAGAGTCATTGTACCAAAAGGAAATGGTTAATGTTCAACCATTTCAAGAGGGTAGCTGTTAACTACCCTCAAGTAATGAGCAGGTGCATTGTTGTGATGGAAAAACTTTCTTGACACAACTTTCCTGGCCTTTTCCTCACCAGTGCAGTTTTCAGTTTTCTTACAATTTCTTCCTAATAAGCCACCATATCATTATGTGTCCTTCAAGGAAATCTATCAAGATTGTCCCTCTGAAGTCCCCTGGAAATAGCCAGTATAACCTGAGCTGCTTTGAATTTAACTGGCCCAGCAGATCTCCTTGCAAGCCACTGTTTTGATTGGATCTTTGGTTTGAACCACCCTAATGAGAGTTTATGAACCGGGCTGTGAACCTCTGGGTCAGCAGTTCGAAACTACCAGCTGTTCCATGGGAGAAACATGAGGCTTTCTGCTCCTGTAAAGATTTACAGCCTCGGAAACCCTGTACAGGGTCGCTATGAGTTGGAACCAACTCCACGGCACATTACAACAGCAGCAATGAGATTAAGTGGCGCTGTGGGTTAATGCACAAGACTGCAAAATCATTTAAACTGCAGGGTCAGCAGTTCAAGCTCACCAGCGGCTCCTCGAAAATCCTATACAGTGTCACTATGGGTCAGAACCAACTCGACGGCACTTAACAACAACAACAATGAGATTAAGATAAATGTTTCTGAGATAACTTATTTGCAGGCATCCACTGATCACAGAAACATGTTTAAACATGTTTTATTGTGAATTAACTCTTGATGTATGAAGTGGAACCCCAGTAGCAATATATTTGAACTTACCTTCAAAAATGGTGGTTTCATATGTTTTGATATAATATGTAAAAGTGGGTGTACTAAATAGACGATGTCATTGTACCATTTGCACTCCCACTTTACAGATGAAAGTTTCATCAACCTTTGATATTGGCATATTTTTACTTTTGCTCATATGGTGCATGTGGAAATATGTCATGTTTATTTTTATTTGTATTTCACTTATTAAAACGAAATCGAGTATCTCTTCATTTGGACCATTGTATTTCCTTTCCTGTCAAATTCATTTTCCTGACTTTTGTCCATTTCAAATTGTGATAATTGGGTTGGTGACTTCTTTTTTTACAACATGTAAATTATGTGGTTGAATTGAATATACTTACTGAGTCTGTTTTTGTTTTTGTTGTTGTTAAGTGCCATCAAGTTGGTTCTGACTCATAGCGACCCTGTATAGGGTTTCTGAGGCTATAAATCCTTGCAGGAGCAGAAAGCCTCATCATTTTTCCCCGGGGGGCTGACTGGCTTGAAGCACCTACCTTCTGGTTCACAGTCCAGTACTTAGCCTACAGAGCCACCGCTCTACAGTTTTACTATAGTGGTAAGTTAAGGTGTTGCTTTTCTTTTTTTCATCAAAAATTTTTACATTTTTTTTTTGTAAGGTACAGTTTATTCAGTCATACCGTAACATTATCTTTAGATTATCTCTCTGTAAGGATTCCTCCCTTAAGTAGATTCCCTGAAATGATATTACTACCTTTTATTTTTTTTAAAAAGAATATTCCTATGCTGTATAAACCCAATCCTAATGTGTACAAATTATTCTTTCTCAGAGTGAAGATACACAACAGCAAATCATCAGAGAGACATTCCATTTGGTATCTAAGAGAGATGAAAATGTTTGTAATTTCCTAGAAGGAGGATTGTAAGTAAAACATTTCACTGACATTTCTAATCTTTGATTATATGATAAAAAAATATGTGCTGCTTAATCAGTTTATATGAGAAGTGTATTAATATTGCTTTTTTTGGAATAGATGTATGAATGAACTACGTATCTATGTTACTTATAAATGTAACAAAGAATTCTTTTCAGGTCTGCATTTTGTTTTCTTTTTTAAATTTTTGTAAGGGTATTTTATATTAAGGTAATATAATTTACCCATGTTGTAAAAATCCAAACATTACAGGGAGGTATAAAAAAAGTTTCCCCCTCCCAGTCTTAGTCCTTCTATCTACTTTCTTGTAGTTCCTTCTAGAAAATTAACTTTGCATTGTCTTACATATAAAAATATAACCTTAAAAATTTGTTACTTATGGTAGTACAAAATATGTATGCTAGTTTGCACGTTGCTTGTTTTCACTTCATATTTTAAAAAATCTTTGAATATAAACAAAAGAAGGAAATCTCATTATTTTTAATTACTAGTATGTTGCTTTGAATGAATGTACTTGTTAACAAAATACTGTTTCTCAAATTTTTCATATTGTAGATATATTTTCTTCCTCTCTATCTCTTTCTGTATGCAGAGAAAAGAGATTAGCATTCAGTTAATAGAGTCTTCTATTTTTATAATTAATAAATAAGAACCATATAATTATTTTGTCAACTATTATAAATAAATACTTCAAAATTAATGGCTACCAAAAAACCAGTTTACTTTCTAATTGGTGAATAAATTCCATTTCCCATGTTTATGCCATTAATATTCTAAGATATTTCCTTATGGACACTTTTTAAACTGTTCTGATCTCTAGTATGAATAACCTCAGGTTAAAGAAACTTAGATTTTTCTTTATTTTAATGTATATGATGCATACAATAAAAAAAAGTTCACTTTCCAACCATAGGTTACGTTTTATCACATTGAAAGTTTAATTTCTTAAAAGGCTATTTTATGTTGTACTTCAAATGTTTAAGTAAATACTTATAACTTGCAAATTCTATTAATTCAAGACATCTAGTTTAACAGTTGAGACAGGTTACCCGCTTTCTGTCTTAATTGTACTTTACCTATTTCTCTTATACTTCTGTAAGAGGTTAGTCATCTTCATTCTAGCCTCTCAATCTGTAATCTCGTAGGGAATTCATCATCCAGCATAGTGGTGTATTATATGTAGTAGAATTGCTAGTATCAGGGAAAGGAAGTGGAGGAGTGCTGTTACAGTGTGGAGACTGCCAATAATGTCATGAAGCAAAATGTGTAACAATTGTTGAATGGAAAACCAATTTGTTCTGTAAACTTTCAGTCATATCACAATAAAAAGTTAAAAAGATAGAAAATAATTTAATTTTTAAAGCAAAATATATACTTGTGATAGTGATGTCTTTGTGTTTTTATTAAAGCCATCTTGAAACTTATAATCTTCTTTTAAAGCAAAGCATAACAGAAGTTTATAGATTGAGGATACATGAAAACTTGCTGTTTATGTTCTTTGTGTCTTTCAGGTACCAATTGAAATCATAGGTTATAAATATAATTCCAGAGAATCCTAAAAGTACATGTACATCTTTAGTACAAAGTTGTTATCTGTCATATCTGGATTTAAAAATTAATGTCAAAGATCATTTCCACTTTTGCTATTTGAGGACATAAAAGTAGTAAATAAGTACAGTGGTTTGATTTCAACAGCTTAAAAGTTTAGTATTATTTTTACTAAGAAATAGGTGTTATTTTCTTATGTCCTGTGTGAATGTTCAGTTAGATTTGATTACATTTAGCCTTGATACTTACGTTATGTTTGTATTAAAGGGTCATCTTTGAGAATATGAATGAATTATTATAAACATAACTATGAAATTGCTAAAATAGATTTAGAAAAATAGAAAATGTTTGGAATAATTTCTAAATTACAATTTTTAAGGTGCTGAAATTTTAATCTATATAAATATTTGATGAGAGATTTCAGTATCTCTTAATTCGTATTTGTGTATTTATATTTTTAAACAAAATACATTTTTGGAGGATATCTTAATGGTAAGTCTATCCAAAACTTAAGAAATGTCTTTCTTTCTTTTTTTTTTAATCTCTAGTTGATAATCAGTCTTAAGCTGCGCAATTTACTGTAACCTATGGAGTACAATCTAGTTAGTAATTGCTTACAAATGCCTTGTGATTTGATTTCTGCCTCTTTCTTTGAATTCACTGTTTACTATTTTTTCCTTATACACTGACCTTCTTCTGTTCTTTGAACATACATACTTTGTTCTTGATGAAATGGCCTTTTTATCAGTTCCTACCTTCACGCTGTACAGTCCTTATGAGTCAGAACTGACTCGATGGCACTTAACAGCAACCTTCATACTATAGGATCAACACTGTACTGTGAACCTAAAGGTTAGCAGTTCAAATCCATCAGCTGCTCCCTGGAAACCCTATAGAGGTTCTTTATGAGTTGGATCAGACTTGATGACACTTATCAACAACCGTCACCTGAAAAGTTCTTCTCTAAATATTTTCATGTCTGACTTTTTACAGTAGATGTCAGCCTAAATGTTACTCTTTTCTTATTACCTGATCTGAACTAGCAAATCCGTTAGTATAGTATCATTGTATTTTGATTCTCTCTCTCTAGCATCTACCATTACTTGTTAATTTTCTGATTTATTTATTGCTCCTCATCCACAATCAGTGCCTGGCACATAGTAGGTCCTCAGGAATGAGCTAAAATTAAGCATCAGCCTCTTTATCATTTCTGAAGAAGATAGGCATCTTAATTTACTTAGTTTCTGAAATAAGTTCACTTGAATACTTATGCCCTTAAATATTAACTTTTAATTTTACAGAAGTATTGAAACAAATTATTACTCTGCTTGAGCTAATGAGTATATTTTGTATTTTGTTCCTTATAACATTCCAGTTGTTTTGTTTTGTCATTTAGGTTAATAGGAGGATCTGACAACAAACTGATATATAGACATTACGCAACATTATATTTTGTCTTCTGTGTGGATTCTTCAGAAAGTGAACTTGGCATTTTAGATCTAATTCAAGTAAGTTAACACATACCTCTTTCTTTCTTAAGTAACAGTTTTAACATTCTTATTTAAATGATATATGTTCTAAGTTTTCTAAGATGACTATTTTATGCAAGAAATAAAGTGTTCCATGGTAGATATTGAGTGGGTTTAGGCACAAGTAGACTAATAAGACTAACCACAACTAATTTCATCATGGCCTTCTTCTCTGTTTATGTAAGTCATCACTAGACGCCCAAGACTAGTGGGGTCACTTAGATTATGGTATATTGTGCATGAAGCTGTATACCATAATCTAAATGACCCCATAACTACCCATCCTTGTCTACTGAAAATTTTTATAATGTCTCTAGAACTCAGTCATTCACCTCTCTCCTGCTTACCTTATACTGTTGCAGCTAGATGTGTTCTCTTTGTTTCTCATTATTACCTCCAGACCCTTTTCTCTTCTAAAATGTGTCCATCTTTGACTCTCACATTATGAACCTTCTACTCATCCTATTGCAATCTTCTATCATCCACACTTCAGTTCATTGAATGTTCTGTCAAGAATTTGTCAAAGGTCTCAGATTTTATGATACTTGCAAGCTAACAGATTAACTGTCCGTAGTTTCATGGAGGCTAGCAGAAGACATGAGACTCCTTTGCTAGAGATAAAGGACTATTACTAACAGCAAAAGCAGTAGCCTGAATAACAGCATTTGCCTATGCTGGTGCTCCAGGTCTCAATTCCCAGCAGATGATAAGTGAGCCAGCTGATTACCTGTGTATCTAGTGGATTGAGTTACAATGGGAACTTAGGGACCTGGAGTCTTTCATAATGGGCACTTAGCATATCTATATTTTGCCATTATGTAGGCAAACCTCTTTGCTCTGCAGGGAAAGGCTGTTTGCTATACAAATATCCTTGAGAATATAGTCCAAAATAAAGCAGTTGGTGCCTCTAGTCACAATATGTACAGAAATGCCAGAATCATGAAGAGTTATCCCCTAACAGAGTATAGTTCCTGGTTCACTTTGTTGTTGTTGTTATGTTCCAACTCATAGCGACCCTGCACAGGGTTTCCGAGGGTGTAAATCTTTACAGGAGCAGAACACCTCATCTTTCTCCCGTGGAACAGCTGGTAGTTTCGAACTGCTGACCCTGAGGTTAGCAGCCCGGTTCGTAACCACTACGCTACCGTTTACTCAAACACTGCTTGTGATATAATTCTTGGTTATTTCAGTGTTTATATGGATAATTCTTTCAATACCCTTATGTCTTTAAACCTAGAATTTGTCTTCTCCAAAGATTTTATCCTCTGCTTCATCTCAATATTTATTTATTTCTAGACCTTGTTATCCAAACTGCAACCCTTCTATCATCTCAATTTCACATATGAGGGGCTCCAAAAATTTCACAGAAAAAATCTATTCTCTTTTAATTTCATTTTCCCTAAGCCTTTGAAAGGGCTTTTACTCTCCGTCAGCCATCTCTTACCTTTAAATTTTACTATTTCTATTACACTAATAATTCTTCAAACCTTTTTGTGACCTTCAGTCTGTTTCACTGTCCCTGATTCTCCTCTAATATCTTATTTTACTTAAATTTTAAGTGGGATTTTAAAAGCTTGTGAAAAATGGGATTAAAAGATAATGGAACTTTCCCACAAACTTTTTGGCGTTTTCTTGTATGGTCAGTCATTATTGTTATAGTTTTATATAAAGTCAGCTTCTTGCTTGTATCCATAAAACTAGCTGACATTCCTAGAGAAAAAAAGCAAAACTTAGTCTTATTTCCTAACCTCAGTGAATCTAGTAATAATATTTCCCTGGTCTTTTCACATTCTCATACTCCTAGACAACTTCTGATACTGACACTTCTCCTCATGCCTTTAGCACGTCTAGCATCTTGCTCACTAGTTAACTGAGAAAATTCAATCAATCAGTAGACAGTTCCCATTGTCTTCCACTATCTATCTAGCAGTCTACATCTGTGTCTATGTATTTTAACACTTCCTCTTCTATTAGGGATGAACTGACCATGCTCCTACCTGTGGTCAACTCATGTACTCACATATAACTTTCCACCTCCTCATTGCTCTAGTAGTTCTCCCATTCATGTTAGTTTTTACCTGTACTTTACAATATTTTTTTCTTAACCTGCCTCCAATATGCTCGGCCATCTTAAAAAAAAAAAAAAGTCTTATTCCTTCTTGCTTCTCCAGAAACTGTTTAATTTATTTTCCTTCATAGCTAAATGCTTTTTAAAAGGTTATCTAGACACTGTTTCAAATTTTCCTTCTCCTGTTATCTTTTGAACCCTCCATTCAGGCTTTCAGCCCTACTGTTGGTAAATCCAAGGGTCAGTTTTCAATTCCTTATTTGATTAAGATAATTTATCACTCCTTTCTCCCTGAAATGTTTTCTTCACTTCATTTCTAGGACACCTTCTGGCTTTTGTCTCATTTCTTTAGATGTGCCTCTTCGGTTTCCTTTACCCATTCTTCCTCATTTTTCCAACCTTTAAATGGTGATAGTATCCAAGGGGTCAATCCTTGTATGTTTTCTTTTTTCTGGTTTTATTTATCCACTAGATCATCATATCCAAATATTATTTACATGTCTATGACTTCTACATTTACATCTTCATCTCAGACCTTTCCTCCTAATTCTGGACTTGATTACTCAACTGTTTACTGGATGGGTTAGGTATCCAGTAAAGATCTCAAACTTAAGTGTCTCAAACTAAGATCCAGATATTCCTTCAAAGAATTGTACCTCCTGCAGCTTTCCCTATCTCAGTTAATGATAACTTCATTCTTCTTGGTGAACCAGCCAAAACCTGGATATTCATCCATCACTTTTTTCTCTCATTCTGCAAGTGCTTTTTTGATAAGTCTTATATATATAGAACCTGATCATTTATTACTTTCCCCACTGCCAATCACCTTGGTGCCAACCGTCACCACCTCTTGCTTGGATTTTTGCAGTAGTTTCCTGTGTGGTCTTTTCGTTCCCACTGCTCTGACTCCCATTTGGTCTCTTCTCAGTGCAACAGCCAGACTGATACTATTGACGTATATTAGGTTTTGCTCGCTTCTGTTTTTGAACCATCTGATATTTCCTTCTTACTCAGAATAAAAGCTGAGTTTCTTACAATGACCCAAGAGGACCCATATGATCTGACTTGCTTTCCCACACACCACTGCTTACCTTACTTCTTCATTTTCTCCTTCTTCCTTTGCTACAGCCACACTGACCTCTTTTAGGTTCTGCAAATATACTAGGTATGCTTTTACCTTAGAGCCTTTATACCTGCTGATCTTTGTACCTAGAATGTTCTTCCATTAGATATTTGCATGACTAGCTTCATTATTCGTTTAGGTCTTGGCCAGGATATCACCTTCTTGATATGCTGTGTCCCGGCCATTCATTCTAAAAATTCTGCCTCTATTTGACATTTCCTAGCAACTATTCTGCTTCTTAGCACCTATCAGCATTGAAAATATTATATTTTTGACTGATGTGATTTTGTGTATTGTTATCTATTGTCACTAGAATCTAAGCTGAGTGCAATGGGGATTCAGCGGTAGAATCCTTATCTCCCATGTGGGAGACTGCGCTTGATTCCTGGTCAGTGCATCTCAGGTACAGCCTGCATCGTTAGAGACTTTAGTGTCTGTGTGAGCAAGAACAAATTTCAGTGGAGTTTCCAGACTAAGAGACTAGGAAGAAAGACATGGTTATCTACTTCTGATCAATCAGTCAGTGAAAACCTATGGGTCGGAGCGAACTTGATGGCACTTAACAACCTGTCCTGGTGTGGCACTGTGGGTTAATGCGCCAGACTGCAAAGCCATTTGAACTGCAAGGTCGGTGGTTCATGCACACCACCTGCTCCTATACAGGGTCGCTATGGGTCAGAATTGACTTGACAGCACTTAACAACAACAGCAAAAACAACAACAAAATTAACTGTCATAGCAAAGCTCAGAGCTTAATTAGAAGGAGTAGAGAGCTGTTGTTGTTAAGTGCAGTTCCAACCCATAGTGACCTTTTGTGAGGTTTCCAAGGATTGACTGGTGAGCTTGAACCACTGACTTTGCAGTTCAAAGGCTTTGCAGTCTGGCGCCTTAACCCACAGTGCCACACCAGGAATCTGAGTAGAGAGCTAGAGAGGTAAAATATGGTGATTGTTACATGCTGGTAATTTTTTTGTTGTTGTTGTTAATCTCTTGTGATTACATTGCTATTTAATTTGTGAAAATCATTAAGCTCTATATCCACTTAATTTTTTTTTTTTTACTTTGTATTTGTAGGTAGTAAATCAATGAAAGGCAAAAATGAGCTCTGCCACAGTATTAAAAAATGCAGTCTCAGTCATCATAAAAAATGAGGACTACTGTGGGTAGTTCTACTCTGTCGCATTGTTGTTATTAAGTGCCTTTGAATCAGTTCTTTCTCATAGTAGCCCTGTATAGGGTTTCTAAGGAACGACTGGTGAATTTGAACTACCGACCTTGCAATATAGTGCCTTATTCTACAGCATCACACCAAGACTCCACTCTGTCTCATAGGGTTGCCATAATTTGGAATTGACCTGACGGTACACAACTACTTAGATATTTGGTGATGGTCCATGTTCATGGAATGGATGAATTAATATTGTTACGATGTCAGTACTACCCATAACAATCTGTAGATTCAATTCAATTCCAATTAACTTTCTAACAACTTTATTTACAGAAATGGAAAAAAAACCAGTCCTCAACTTTATATTGAATGGGTGGTGGTGGTGAATGGGAAAAGGCACCAAATAGATTAAGTAGTGTTGAAAGACAACAAAGTAGAACAATTTATACTTCCTGATTGTAAAACATTACTCAGCTACAGTAATCAAAACAGCTGGGTAGTGGTATAATAGTAGATACACAGACCAGTGAAGTAGAATAGAGAGTCCAGAAGTAAATCCATACATCTGTGGCCAACTGAATTTTAACAGGCTGCTAAGCCCATTCAGTAGAGAAAGAAAA